GATTATCACTCCCTGATAGAAATTCAGGAAACTGATTAATAAAGAAGTCAAATTAAATTCAAAAGGACAACCTTTACACGGTACAACCTTTGTACTGTGAGGCTTAAATCACTGCAGGGATCTTACAGTGACGCTTGCTGGCTTACTGATGTCCAGCACTCTGGTGTTATCAGTCACCTAGCCAACTTATGGGCATGGATGGATAAGAAAAGGTCCACACAGAAATCGCCGCAGCAACTGCCGCGCGCGACGATTCTCGCCGCGTGAGCGGCGTGACCTCATTAGCCGACGATTGAATTGACCGTCTCCCTCTACTTGAGATTTTTACAGAAGAGAACAGTAAATCGTAAAGCGAAAATTCTTCAAAAAGCGATTTCTGGAGTTCTGTAAATTGTTACATAGCTTGTTTTGTTCTCCTGCGAGCCCTGGAGACAGGCAGGCAAGCGGAAATGGAAACCTCGAAAAGCTTCGATTCCCTGAAGAAGAGCAGAGCAGAAGGCCTGGAAACATTTGACACGCCTCAGTTGCGTGCCACGCACGCGCCATCCCCCTTCATCTGAAGGCTCGTGTAAACGGGGCAGGTGGCAGATCTCAATTCTATTCTGGAATTACTTTGAGATAAGAGTTACAAACACTTCCCTGAAGTTTGTTTGTTCCATCAAGCTACTATGCGTTTTTAACGACACAATGTCTTTGGTCCTCATAATTTTGGCCCACCTTGTATATTTTACTATAGCAATCAAGTTTGGAGTGCCCAACCGAGGAGACTATTTCGGCCACGAAACAAAATGCTGAACAGACTACTGGAATCAAAATTGAGACAAATATCAGTTCGCCGAAGACCTTTCTTGGTTTGAAGTGAGCAGCTCTTCTCCTCGGCAGTAGGAAACGATAAAGATCGGTCACTTCATTAAAACCAAGAACAACAATAACATCATTAAAAATAAAAGGTCTCGAAGCTGATCAATATATTTACGGGATTCACTACACAGTTTAGCTCTGCCATGGATCCTGCTCCTACTCAAGTGTACCAGCACAGCAACTTACTGTGGTACCCAGCACTGATCTGTTTTCAAGTGATTAAAATCGGAACTACATAACACTACACAGAGCGAAAAAACAACGCTACCAGTCGGGTCGAAGTTGCCCTAATTAAAAGTACACCATCTCATGAAGCGTTCCAAGAGGTCTCTTGAGACGTTCCAACGTAAGCACTTCACATATAGTTGCGGCCAAGAGCTCTACGCCGCAGAAGGCTATTTAGAGGAACGGATGGAACGACCAATGTTCGGGCCGAGTTGGAACGGCTACGGCGGAAATGTGAGTATATTTTCGTCGTCGGACGAATGTCTAATTCCATACGCTCGCGGCGTGTTGACGTTTTCTCGAGTTTGAAGTTTGTTTATTCCGAGTTGAAGTCCAAGTTCTAGCGGCCATCAGGTCTTCTCATGTATGGACTAAGTAATCACGCGGGTTCCTTGTCACGCTTCTCATTTGGCGGTTTTCTTAAAGGCATGCCCCAGGATCACATTGGTGTGGCTCTTGTACACGAATGCGAATGTATTGGTGCGAAGTGGGCCGGCAGTAAGAAAAAAGGAAAAGAATCCGTCAAAAACGCTTAGGTTAAGGGCTCACTCACCTTCCTAATCGGCTGTGCTAAGGAGGGAGAGGAGAGTATGGGGCGAGAGAGCGCTACAGATGAGAGATCGCCAGACAACAGCCTGATAAGAGAAAAAAGTCTGCAGCTTGGGCAGCTTACTTTGCAAGGCCCAAGCGCTCTTATCGGTTGGTTTCCGTGCACGAGAACGCCACATTTGTGATTGTCCTCTAGGGAATACTACAGACCGAAGGAGAAGCGTTCACACGATCTCTGCCTGGGTTGTGCCTTTAACTATTGCTAAAGTTCTGATAAAAAATTGTACATACGGTTCTTTGCAGGATTTCTCCCCGAACTCAGTTTTTTTTCGAAGTCTGGAATGTTTCACGGAAAATTCTCAACATGGCTGCGCCACTTGTTATCACTAGAGAGAATGCAGAAGTGAGTGCAGAATTTTGCGCAAAAAAATTAGGCCTCCAAAAAACAGGAAACCTACCACAAGCGCACTTTATTTACGGCTGATAGCAGATCGGGCGGAAACAAAGAAACGCAGGGAAAATGTACACCTCCAGTGGCCACGTATCAGGAGCCATTGAAAGAATCGGATGAAACCTTCGAATTCAGAGAATAGAGACGAAATGATTGAAAGAATAGGATGCAGTGAAAAAACAGAGAAATTTAATTGCTATGGGTGAAACACGGCCACAAATAGTTGCTAGTGAGGCACTCGAGAACCAAGTGGAAATGTTCCCGTCGCCAGCATTTGTGACAGATGTCCGGCGGGACTTTGAACGCGTAGCAGCCCTTCGGGTTTTTCGAATTTTTACCAAAACAAATGCAATTTTTTTGTTCTTTTCGTTCTTGTCGTGAATCATGGGTCTCAAGTCAGTAATTTGTAAGCGGAAATGATTTTTTTGGGTATGGATTCCTTTGAAACGGAGTTTAATTTTTTTTTCGTGGACATTTTCTCAAAGATATGAATACGGCCGGATTGGCTACATTCACTGGTTCGATCTCTCATTCTCACGGCAAGGGTTTTACGAAATGGCGTACTTCAGTGGATGATCATCTTGGCAGGCGTGTATGGGAATGATTCCACGGATTGTAAAACGATGATCACCAAACTCTTATCATTAATACTTGAGTTGTCTCAGTTGTCTCCTAAAAATAGGGAATGAATCCATAAGGTTCGATGTCATTTCTTTAGCCAGGTAGATTCTGAACAATCCACACAAAACAATGATTTTGTAGTTTTATTTGAAAAAAATAAAAACAAAATTAAATACAAAACAAAAATAGGCATTATGCAAAAGCACCGATGTTCAATAACCGAAAAATGTAATAAAGAAAATAAATGACCGCCATCTAAAACAGCGTGAAAGAAAAATCTAATTGAAAGCTAACGAAATCTCAAGGATCATTTCTCAAGTCCTTCTGATCGGAGAGCGATGACAGCCTTCTTTGGACTCGGCTGAAAAGAAAATTTTTCATCAAGAAGAACATTTTTTCGGATAAAGAAAAATGAACAGTGACTTCTAGCTCCTAAGTAGAAGCTTCACTGCGATTGTTATTGCATGACTACAAGTAAAAGTGATAAAGGAATTGTTTCAGAAGATTACCGTAATACCTCTGTACCTGGATATTTGGAGAAGGGACAGGCAAAAAGCAGTGGATGGTGGAACTAGTCACCAAGAAATACTATAAGAGTGGACTCTCAACCTCATAGGTGGATTTTCTACTCCCCATATGATAAGTTTTCTTTCGAACTGGGCACTATTGCAGAAAAACAAATGAAGAAGGCCAAGCATCACCTGTAAAATGTCGTCCACCATGAAACCCATTTTCCGTCTTTTCAACGGAGCTTTGACAGGAGTTTCTATCGGCGATTCTGGAGCCTGCACGACTCCGTACGGATTGACATTTTCTTGATCATGAATTTCTGGTGTGAGCACTGGAGGTGGTGAGAAGCTTGACCGACTGGTGTAGGAACTGAAATACGTAAAATCAGAAAATCGGTTTTCGAAAATTTCACATTTCTGTATGAGTAATGAAGGGCTTAGGTAGGAGTCAGTACCGAAATTATCCGATTAAGATCCAAGTAATCAAGGCCACACCTAAAAGTGCCTATAGGCCTATTTCACTACGATATCCGCCACCGAGGTCCCCCTGTGGTGCCAGCCTAACAACTGTTCTTAAAAAATTAATGCAAATCGGTTTACCTAGGGGATTTCTGCGATGACTGTTTCAATTCGCTTCCAGTGTTGGTCTTCCTTCCACCGAAACAGCGCTGAAATGAAAATGTTTGTAAGGGCTTGTTTCCGAACAAAACAACTCCAAATCGGATGAATGTCTGCACACAAAGATAACAAAAAATTTCATAATTTCATATTTCTTTCCAAATTCGTACGTAATAATTCCAAAATAAATGACTGCGATTGACCCACTTCATACCACGCTTCCACTTCGTCTTCAAACTCCGAACTTCTGTTGATCAACCGCTCCGAATTGTCCTCAAAAATTGAAATAAATTACAGTAAACAAAAAAAGGCAAAAATACAATTTCTAGCCGAGAAAACATAACAATTTATGCGACCAAAAATAACCTACTTGATGGATTCGTCGCATGTGACTGGTAACGTGGAATTTGTCATAGAATGAGGCATGGGAGCAGTGAGGGCATTGGAACAACGGTCGCCGCACATGATACTGTAACAGATGACGCCGTGGCCCTGAAATGAACTGTAATCACACTAGAATAACCATTGTGAAAGCTTTAGATTGCAATGATTTACGACCTCCCCCTACCCCTTCAAACAGTCTCGATACGACCCCCATCTCCACAATGTGCCTTTGGGAACTTCATCGGTACGACACCTTTTTCAGAACACAACCCTGACCACCATTGTTTCTGCAGTATTCGATTATGGTTCTGAGAGCAGGTGTCACAGCCCAACTCTACCCAATTCGCCCTTCAAACAGCTGTCAAGCGGTTTCCAAGATCCTCATTTTTCCCTGATATTGCTTCGTTTTCCATAAAATTATCACAAAACCCGCCAAACAAGTCACCCTCTGCCACCAAGACTCCTCTAACTTCCGATATACGCCCACCCTTCCAAAAAACCCAAACACGACCATTCGTTGGGAATTGTGCTGGGCACGGTTGACCCTGCTTGTGAGTTAGGTGTTAGGTGCAACGTTCGCTATTCATCATCACTGTCTACATAGACCAACACATGCTTTCATTTTCAGAATTTTCTGCCATAAAAAACTTTAGATGTCGCTCCTATACTGTCTCTCTGACTACTTCAGGTGAGAACCAGCTACTCTCAGTGTGGTTGTCTTGTATTATCATGGGACAGATGCGGGTTAGATGATAGTCGTGCCACCGCGGACATCTCTCACTTCATGTATTTGCTTGAAGTACCCTTGCCATTACTAAACCTTGAAGTGAAGGGCTTACTTTAGCCTCACCTTGACTTCTCTTGCCATCTTTGTTGATATGCATTTTACAGATGGAGCAGTACGTCTTCTTATAGCCTCTGACTGCGTTCCGACTGATTGGAGTCCCAAGCGACGAGTTCGCAGACGAAATTCCGGAATCAGACTGGAAGCATAGAAATTCTGTATTTTTTGTTAACTATTCCTTCCTATTCCACATGAATGTGAGCGCATGTTTTCCAATGGCCTCTCATTTAGTTGATCTTGACTATTCGGTTACTCTTTCTTGTACCTCTATACACTTCTACTTTAACATTGCGACAAAAAGTGCGAAGCCGCTGCAACTTTTGCCACTAGTGTTCAAAGAGCCGAACTCCGCTTCCAATTAGGTTTTTGAGGCTATGTATAAAATTCTACAATGTGGAGTACGAGATTTCCTCCTTTCCTTAGGTCTGTTTTCGAGGTTAATGGTTACTGGGTGAAAACTCACTTTGCAACCCTGGTGCGTGATGAACCTTGTGTAGAGATCTCTCGTTTAATGGCGAGTAAAATTTGAAGCATGAACTTACCTGGAGAGAGAAAAACGGTTTTCGACCATGCCGCATCACACCATGCGGAAGCCCTGCTTTACTGAACAACAACTCTTAGAGTCTTACTTTTAATTCGTCCACTTCGAATCTAATTTGAGAGCAGCTAGCTGCACCTATAGATATAATGAATCTGTCATGACCCGAACGCTACTCAATTAGTCCCGCCCCCGTTTAGAAGTTTGTAAAGCGCACCGAGGGTGGTGTTAATGCGCATCATTTACGATGGCAGGCGAAATTGATGCAAGCCCAGAAAGATTCCATAGTATCGAGCGAAGAAGACGATGGATCCATCATAAATCTTGTGGAATTCCCTACATTACCGTAGTACGGAGCGAATGGAGAATAGATCGAAGTGATCGGTGGCAGATGAGCCTGTCCGAAGCCAAAATATGGGGTCGATGTGAAGAATTCTGCAATTTCATATATAATAATACTTGGTATTGCTGAAGTCTCCCTGATTGTCTTCAATATTTGGAAAGAAGAGAAGCTCTGTAGTTTCACTTGCAGCCCCTTCTGCCCTTGTGCAACCAATGGCCGACGTAACTACCAATGGAAATACTCACAGATCTCCATGGGATGTTTGCCTGATCGGGGGTAGTGGGCCAAAACAGAGCTTCTGTGCTAGACTCCCCTTCCACCCTCTGCTTTTTATGCAACGTTTTGCTCTGTTGCCACTTTTATTCCTTTTCGAACAACAGTCATTTTGCGTCCACCAGCCAAAGTTTAATTTGACGGCTCTGGGTACCATTACAGAGCGTATAACGATAAAGAGAGTCTCTCACCCATTATGTGGCAGATTGAGTACGCAGGGTTTGTCGCGCAAAATCTTGCTCGCAGAATCGGACGTGGTCGTAGAAGGAGACTGAAATAAACTTCCCTTACTTATTGAACACTTTGAAAAGAATATTCCATATCCCCTTCCTGCGAAAAGAAAGTTCGAATTTCAAATTCGAAAAAATAGAATAAAGAAATGAGAATTTTGGCGAGTCAGGGCAAATGGATCCCATCCTACCAGTGCCTCTTTAGGAGAGTTTTGATCGAAAGTCAGCATACCGGGTGTTTTCGATTGGATCTGATTTTGTAGGAAAAGTAAGCAGAAAATCTGCAGTAGTCAGTATGGATCCGTAGTAAGGAACGAATAACCTTCAGTTCTGTGCTGTCTGAGTCTTCCTGTGTAATTAACTGGAAAATTCAACGAATAATAAAGTGAAAAAACACAGGAACAAGAAGTGGTAGCATAGAGGGAAGGAAGAGAAAGTGGAGAGCCATTCGAAACCAAACGCTATTCTGGCTTCTTATGCACCCATCTTGCGATGCTTTCGACCTTTACTTATTCCAATATTTTTCAAAAAAGGTGAAATAAAACAGAAAAAAGTCCTTCCTCACCTCTTCCTCCTTAACATCTGATATAGTCATCTCTGCTTTTGAATTCATAGGAAGTTGAACTCTGCAAGTTTCAATTCGCTTTACTTGTATATGTGCAGAAAATCCTGGTAAACTAAAGTTACCAAACTATGAAGTATTAAAAAAAATGGAAGGGATAAAAAGAGCAACTGAAACTCACCGTGAGTAGAGCAGACTATTCAAGATTTCTTAGGTCAACTCCTTATCTTATATATGACCTCGTTGAATTCTCCGCCTTTGTCTCCGTCGGCTCTTCCCAGCGCGATACATGAGGTGTCAGGAGCCCTGAGGGCGACTACGATGAGTTCACACCTCAGCGCGTCCTCTTGGCAAGTAATTATCATGAGGTCAACACCGAAGTGTGAACAGGGGACATGGAAGTTCCATAATGGCCAGTCCTATCGCGTTTGATTCCCTGAATTATACAGTCATCGATGGGGAATAAAAAATGTTGAGCCTTGCAACCACCCGGTATTCATGGGAAAGGCTGAGGCTGTACAAAATTTTGAGAAAAAAAAAGAATTGTATTTTAGTGTATGTATTGTATTATATAGTGAGAAACGAATGTATAAAACGAAAAACAAAAACAAAATTTATATATAAAAAATTACATAAAAAGAATCAAACCGTTTGTTTTGATCCTCTCTCACAAGCGTTTTTGCTTACGCGCCAGTCCTGTAGTTCACCGTCCCTAAAACACTTGATGCTTCGTAATGTTCAGACTTCAATTCTAGTACCCCAACGATTATGAGTTAGGGATATTTCTCTAAACGGGACTCCGTGCTGATTCGTACTTCTCCGCATTAATTTCCATCTCGAAACTTGTTTAAATTTCTGGGCTCCTTCCTCAGAGATCTGAGTTCAGCTTCTCTCCCCTTTTCTAAGGTGAACAGACATCCTTTCAAAACAATGGGAAATAGCTGCGTAGATATGAAGAATTGGGTTTTTTTGAATTGAGAACCACACCTTCAGCGTTTTCAAGCGCTATTTATTTCGCCTATTTCTCTGATTGATCTGACAAACAGTAGACTTCAGTGTGACTCGATGCTTCTGCCAACTTTGTGGCATTCTCACTTGTGTGACATACTAGTGATCAGCATTTTACAAATACTTTATAAACTTCCATTTTGCCAGGCACTTTATCTCTCTAGTTTCAACGACCAGCTTCTGTATCCCTAACCCTTCTACGGTATAATGTTTGCAATTCTACTTTTGGAGAGTAGAAGAATTGGTAAAGTAATTTAGTCAGTTAATCTGAGCAACAATTTTTTCGTGGATCCATATCATTCGCTCCGCTTCACTAACACGACCTGCAGAGCTCTCGTGAGATTCCTTTACACTGCGTGCTTGAATGATAATTCTCCCACTATCAATATTAGCTTATCATGACAAGTTTCAACCTGGAATTTGGAAACTTGCGGAAAACATGGACAATAAACAACATAGACAAGAGGAGGTGAGGTTGTTTCACCTGAGCAGCGTTTCCAGAAGACGTCAGATTTCGGAATTGCAACTGGGACAAACGAGCTGCTTCCATACTTCCAAGTTCGCCTTGGTCTGCTTTCAACGTTTTGAAGTCAAGGTATAGTAATGAGAAGATTCTCTTGAGGTGAACAAGAGAATAGGCTTACTTGAACAGTTCTCAGGATGACAATATGGAAACTGTTCAAGGCGAAACGTGAAGCACATGCAGCGTTGAACAAATTCTTATTCGCCGCTGAGAACGCCAAGAGGTCAGTTGGCTTCTATTTTGATTCCTTTCTATGCTTTCAAGGAAATGTACTTACTTGTGCAGTGCTACTATGTATACAAGTTTTGCGTAATTACATACTCTTCGTGTAACGTCCAGCGATGTGCCATACTTTCGCAATATTTTGAAATATGTAGTGGTTTTTGAGTAGGCCTAGTAGCCTATGCAACTCCTGAGGGTTTCCGGTGGCCGCTTTCTGTTTTTCAAATCTTCTGAGTCAGCTCCAATAAGTGAGAAGGACATTCTGCTGCAAAGCACCCAAAGCATTCAAATATGAAAAACCTAAACTTGCCTCAAAAGTTTAGAAGAAGTAGCAATCACTCATGTCGTTGGAGGGTGACCTTAAAGTGAGTGAGCCAGACAGGACTAAGCCTTAGGGATGGGAAGGGAACCTGGGAGGTATGTAAGCAGCTCTTGTTCACCCTAGCATTTCCTGCTCTTCTGGTCTTAGCCTCATTGTCGCCTCGTCATGGTGTTAAAAGGCTCTGTTCTGACTGTCCCCTTCGAGTGGCCCTCACTTTACCCTTCTGCATAAAGAAAATGGTTCACCCCCTCTGGAGCTCCTTCCTATTCGAAAAATGGAATTAGTAATGCACACGATCAGTTGTACCAAAATCCAAAATGCCTCCAGCCCCTCCCACATCGAAATAGACTACATTCCTTTGTCTGCCATAAATGTACTGTGGATAGGTACGGTGACCAAATTGGACTGACTTGAGGTTAATATGTACTAGCAATACTTTTGCTTGCGTTGGTGATATTGTTCTATAGCAATCGCGCATTGTGCTCCGACAATTCGCATTGGAAATCATATTCGGAACGCATCCCGTCATCTTTTTTTTTTCAGGGAACAGCTCGGCATCGGCAAAATTTTAACGACGAAACAGAAGATCAAGCGGATGCTGTCGTGTTTCTATCCGCCATGGAGGGAGAACTTTGTCGCACACACTTGCTACGATCGCATCTTTAGCCGTGGAACACTGTTCGTCCTGAATATTGTCGTGCATAGCCGCGAAAGAGTCGTACTAGTGTCCAGAGGGCTCTTTTCACACTTCAGTACCTGCACATTGTTGAACTTTATGAGTTCATTACTGTGGCAATGCCGTCGGGTTGGCCAGAGTGACCCATGGTCAGAATGATAAGGTTCCGTTAATAATACCTTGTTCATGATGGAAAAGAACCATAGATCAAACAACTGGGAACTCGATAAAGCGCATGTATCACCCGCGTCCTAGTTTGCGTAAGAAAATGAGAATGAGAATTGAGGCATTTTCGTCGGATCAATGCTTATCTTTTCTTGTTTGATCGCTTACTGTCTGGTTTTGCTACCCACTCACCATCAGTCTGTTTGGATAATTGCTTTCGCAGTTCCCCCCAGCTCTTCGTAAGCATGAGTGGAACCCACAGTCTGATTAGGCAGTGGTGGTTGTGGTGGTGTGGGGAGGA